ACAGGTGTGCACCACCATACCCGGGTGGGCCTACATTTTTAGTAAAGAACAGCATACATAACCAGGTGTAGTGGTGCATGCCTGTAAACCCAGCACTTGGGAAGCTGAGGTAGGAGATGATTTCAAAGCCATCCTACACTACAAAGTGAGACCCTGTCTCAAAAATTCAACAGAACAAAACAGAATACAAATGAATAGCATACACAAAAAGTGTGCAAATCAGTTTTATAATTTGGTGACAAAGAACAATACATCATCCAGTAGTCCCCTTCACACCGCTTTCTGAATAGCACAGCTCGCTACTGAAATAACCACTATTCTAATTTCTGGCACCACTGGTTAGTTTAGCCTCTTTGAAATATGTGTAAATGGAATCATATCATCTATTCTTTTTTTATGTCTGAATTTTTTCACTTATCTGTGAAGCTTATACATTTGTCTATCAAGTGAGTTATTTTTAAAATTTGTATAATATTCTGTTGGACAGCTATATTGTAGTTTACTCTTTGTAGTGTTAATGAACATTGGAATTCCCCTACCTTTTGGATATTACAAGGAGTGTTGTGATCATTCTTAAATATGTGTTGCAATAAACATTCGTACATATCTCTTGGGCATATACCCTGAGTAGTGCTTATGGGCATGGGGCAGCATATGTGCAGGCTTGGTACTACCATGTAGCTTTCCACAGTAGGTGACAACATTCCACACTTGCACCAGCAAGACCTGGCTGTTTTTGAAAAACAGTGTTATAGAAGTGAACTATAGAACTTTTTTTAAAAAAAACAGTCTCACTATGTAGTTCCGGCAAACCTTGAACTCATTACGTGGCCTGTGCTGGCCTTGTACTCGCAGCAGTCCTCCTCCCTCAGCCTCCCAACTGCTGGGATTGTAAGCATGCGCCACCATGCCCGACCCAGTAAATGCTTTAGAATTTGCTGTTAGATTTGCCCTCAAAGGTACAATTCATACTCTGTTGACACTAGATTGTTATTTAACCCTTTCAGTCTTTATCAAGTTATAGGAAAAAAGATCAATTTTAAGTTCCCTTAATGAGTTGAAACCGCCCCCCCATTACTCTGGTGCTAGAGACTGAACCCAGGTCTCACGTGGTAGGCAAGTGCTCTGCCACTGAGCTAGATCCCCTTGAATTTAACAGTCCTCCTGTCTCAGCCTCCTGAGTAGCTGGGATTACAGGCATGCACCACTGTGCCTTGCTGAGTTGAACTAACCTTAATTTTTCCATTTCAGTTTTATTTTCTTGACTTCGTGGCTTTGGCCTTTTCTTTGTTAGGATGTGACCCTCCCTCTGGTACCCACCCTGCCCCATGGTTTTTTTTTTTTTTTTTTGGTTTTTCTCCGGTACTGGGAATCAAACTCACGACCTTACGCTTGCCAGGCAGGCGCTTTGCCGCTGAACTAAATCCCCAGCCTCCCCGTGGTTTTGGAATAACTCTTTTTAAAATTTTTTGAGATAGGTTGTCCTCAAACTCAGTGTTCAGCCTAGACTGAGCTTGAACTGAAGGAGATCTGCCTCTGCTTCCCAAGTTCTGGCATTACAGTTGTATACCTCTGTGCCTGGCTGAACTCATCTTAAAAATCCACTTTCTGGAGAGAGCTGAATATTGAGCCCAAGGCCTTGTATATCTGTCATGGTTACTTTTCTTATTGCTGACACCCAAAATTAAAGAGGAGTTTATTTATTAAGTGCACAGTTTGTAGAAGTTTCAGTCCATAATAGACTGGTTCCAAGGCAGGGTGGCATGGCAGACAGGCATCACAGAAGAGAAAACAGTTGAAGGTTGCACAGAAGTTAGCAAAGCAAACAAGGGACGAACACAGCTCTTTCTATCCCTTGTATATTATCCAGGCTACTTGTGGGGGGAACTCATACCCTTAATCCTAGTGGCCTTGATACTAGCATTGTACTGTGAATCTATCCCAGTGTCACACACTCTAGATCCAGCCACCTCTGCAAAAGCCCCACCTATGACCACATGAGGCTTTGGGGGGACATCTAGGCACAAGCCACAACAACATCCTAAGTATATCTCCTATCACTTGAGCTACACCCTCAGCAAAATACACATTTTGGGGGCTTACACCAGTGATGGGGAACCTTTTAGAGCTTTCAGTAATAACAAACAGCCCCTGCAGCATGTGTGCTGTTGGTTTACCAACCTACTGGTCTATACCATATTTGTTTTTCTCCCTAGTATTTTGTTTACAATATAGATGTTTTAAATGTGTGTATGTTTGTGTCTGCTACTCTTTCTTTTGTGGTTTTTAGCCTTGCCTTCATTCTTAGGGAGGCCTTTTCTATTGAAAAGTCTATTTTTTGGAGGGTTCCCCCCCACACTGTTTTTGTTAGTTATACAGAGATAAACAGCTTTCATTTGGGCGGATTTGTATAAACACATAATGTACTTTAATCATTCCCCGCTCACCACCCCCATGGCTCCTCCACCCTCTGCCCAGTTTCACATGTCTGGGGTATTTTTCAATGTGTATAATGTGTTTTGATCATATTCATGCCCCTTATTTTTCATTCTTACACTCCCTTCTTCATTCCCTTTCGTTGCTTCCTCTTTTTGAATAATAGTCTCCCTTCCTCTTTTTTAGGTTTCACCTATTAGGGAGAACATGTGATATTTATCTTTCTAAATCGGGCGTATTTCACTTAATGTGCTGATTTTCTGAGCCTTCCATTTTTCTGCAAATGACAAATTGTGTTCTTTTTTATGGTTGAATAATCCTCCATTGTGTATATATATCACATTTTCTTTATCCATTCATCTGCTGATAGGCATCTAGGCTGGTTCTATACCTTGTCTGTTGTATGTTATGCTGCAGTGGACATGGAATCCTAGGTATCCTTGTGATATGGTTACTTTAATTCCTTCAGGTATATACTAAGTGGTGTAGCTGGATCAAACAGTAGTTCTTTCTTTAGGTTTTTGAGGAATCTCTATATTTATTTCCATAGCAGTTGTAGTAATTTACTATTCTTACCAGTAGTGTAAAAGAATTCTTTTTATCCCCCACATCTTGGCGAGCATTTGTTTTTGTGTTCTGATTGGGGTAAAATGAAATTTAAATGTAGTTTTGATTTGCATTTCCCCTCTTTGAGTGCTTTATTATTACATGTGGAGTTGCCGCCCCCCCAAAAAAGAGAGATTTTAAAAATTGTAAAGCATCTATACATTAAAAAAATTAGTGTTATCTGGAATGTTTTGCAGGCATCAGAGGGTGTTTGGGCAGGAAAAATTTTGTATGCCAGCAGGCATGTGTGTGTCATTTGACCAACAAGAAATGATGCCATGTAGATGATCCTATGTAGATTTGATATGAATCCTTCTAGTGTGCCTGTTATTAAAGTAATTAATTTTCATTTAGAAGAGAATGAGATCAAATTAACCTAGACCGAAGTATCTTACTTGATAAGGTAATACTCTCCAGCTAGGACCTCATCAAAATATACCTTACGTCTTGTACGCTGTCCTGTGACATACAGGACAGATGCCTGGGGAACCAAATGCTTAATTTCAGACCTTTAAAAATAATGCTGCAGTGAGACTTGAGATCTACCCCAAATCCGTACAACCTAAAATTCCTACCATAGAGTCATTACCAGGTTAAACCATGAAGTGGAGAATTGATTTTAGATTGTAGCTCTTCTATGAGTGAATTTGGTTTCTGTAATTGAAGCTTAGTACTTTAGAAGGTATATGAGTCTCAGGATCAGTTAAGGTTTTGAGGACGAGAACTCAGAAATCTTACTGCTGTGTGTTTAGAGTTCCAGACCACACCAGAACCTGGAGATAAGTATAAAGCGTTTTGGGAGGGGAGGAAAGTGCATAGGTGAAAATAAGCAGAACAGATAAGATAGAACCACTGGTCATGCAGCTTGTACCACACAATGGGACTGCCCCGTGCTGCTAGATGGGACAGTCATGCATGTGCCGGCAGTGTTTCAGAGCCATCCAGCAGCACAACATACAAATTATAGCCCTGTCATGAACATGTTAAAAATTTTTTTTTTGTTTTTAATCTACTTGTAGCAAGGTTGTATCATCAGTTCGATTATTGCATAAACCAAGGAGAAAATTATGAGGGCTTGCCTTAGTAAATCCATAATTTTAGAAGTATCTTTTTCTCTAATGGTGACAAAGTGAAGGGGAGGGTAAAGGAGAAATTGGCTCTGCAGAGTGAACTTGGGTCGAATAAAAGAAGTACACCCTGAGGAACATAGGGCAGGCTGCTGTGAGGTCAGCCGCAGTAACCTAGGAGAATCAGTGTTTTTTGAGCTTTTGAATTTGACTGAAGGAAATAGTGGATTTATATTAAGGGCTTGTTGGGGATAGATTGGGGAGAAAAGGGTTCAGAAGGGAGAAAAGATACAGGTGCTCTTTTTTTATTTACATATAGGAAAATGTTAAAACATTTTTGATATTTAATCTACACAGAATTCCTATGAAATTGTGTTTTCCCAATTGGCAGAGAGAGAAGAAAATGTTGGGGAGCAAATTTACATTATTTTGTCTAGGCTCACAAACCTAGTAAGTGGCAGTCCTGGGATTTGAGCACTGATCTCTGAACCCAAAGCTCATGCATTACTATTTTCATAACAGTACAAATAGCTTCCTAAATTAGAGTTGTTATGTATACAGTGGTACCTTGGTTCATGAATGCTTTGCTTACAGATAATTTGGTTTTCAAAGGGAAGTGTTTGGTAAAATTTGTTTTTTGTTTGGGAACTGTGCATCAGATGGCAAATGTGTCTGGTGCCAACCGTCTTTTTTGCATGAACATGAACATGGCCATTTCCTCCAAAATCATGCAATGAATTAAGTTTGTGAACTGAGGTACCCCACTGTGTTTTATATTTTATTGGTATATCAAGTTTTGGTAACACTTTAATTGGCCTGTCTTGAGGATGTCACCAGTACTTCTTCCAGGTAGCATAAAGCCTGTGTAATTTCCTTTAACTTCCACCCAAGCATTGAGAGTAAGCATGAAGTTACAATCCTGGGAGGACTCAATGAATTTGTAGTGAAGTTCTATGGACCACAAGGAAGTAAGTACATGTGTTGGTATGTGTCCTTTTATTGCAGTCTTTTAGACAGTAAGAATATCAAAGGCAAGTGGTGGTAGCATCCATAGTTTTTGAGATGTCCAGAGACATCTCGAAAGATTGAAGAAATCTTTCTCTCCTCATAATTTACTTCATATACTTTCCTCTTTTATGAATTGTGAATTCTAGGTTTTGTTATGGATGGCCACATGGGTGGTTTCTAGGGGAGTATATTTTGCTGTTTTTTGTTTAATGGGCGAGGGAGGCACCTATGGGATTGGTTGAGATAGGACAAAAAGGAACCATGGCTGTTACTTACCAATAATTAAATAATATTAAATAGAATCAATTAAATTTGAAGGAGAGAATGAATTTTTGCTTATTTTTTTAACTCTGGGTCTTTTAGAGAAAAATGTTCATCAGAACATAGAGTACCTGCTGATGCAGTAGATTTCTGACTCTTAAAAGGAGTTTAAGTGGAGGCTATCACAGAAGATTAGGATTAATGTTTAACTCACATGCAGATTTATTTCTAATTTGGAGACAACAGTTCTGATGTCTAGTACCTTCTATTCCAGCACCTTATGAAGGCGGAGTATGGAAAGTTCGAGTGGATCTCCCTGATAAGTACCCCTTCAAATCTCCATCTATAGGTATGTGACTGCTTGGCTTCTCTCTTTAAAGAAAAAAAGTTTTTTTGTGGGAGATAATTCCAGAAGTACAACTTCACAAATGATTACTTAACTGAATCCCCTGCTTCTTTTTAGGCGTTAATTAACCAGTGGTAGGATAGGGGCTTCCCTAATGGGATAGAAGACATTTAAATGCACCCTATATGATTATCATTACCATTATTCTAGATTTTTCTTTAATTATCAGATTAGAACTACCAACTTTAAAGTCAACTGTCTAGGCTATTTTATCAGTAGAAAATAAACAAATTCTTAAATCTCATTTTGAATATATCAGATTGTTAGAATGAATATTATATAGTTTCTGTTCTGTCATTTAAAAGTCTAGCCTAGAACTTACTTTGCTGTGTTTAATTCCAGCTCTGGGTACCTAGCAATGAAGTGATCCTTTTTCACTCTCTTCAGCCCCGCTCTATTCTGGCTTTTAAACAGTGGATAAAAGTACCACGAAAAAGAATAGCAACTTGGTGGCTTTGTGCAAGGCAAGAGAGGCCTTTTCCTTACTTTCATAGTTCTTAATTGGTGATGATATTAAACTGTCACCCCTATTAAGGCACTGAGTGATAGTTTATTTTAGTATCAGAGCTGTAAAGGTACACTTGATTGAAAGTTGACACTTTTAAATATTTTGAGATTGTTGAATAATTGTAGTAATTTGATTAACTTCAGTCAGCTCTTTTTGCTTCAGTCTATGTGACTTTAAAATAGTTTAAAATATTGCAAATTTTAAGTAAGAACCATGAAATAAAATTGCGATGTATTGAGTATTCTGACCATCAGACTGAGTCTCATGTTGAGAATTAACAAAATTCAGGTATCTTGCTGTGCTCTGGGCTGTCTTGGAACTAATGCCAGATCTCATGAAGTTTTTGTTGTTGTTGAGTGGAGGCTGGCTTTGCACTCACTATGTAGCACTGTGTGGCCTTGAACTCATAGCAGTCTTCCTGCTGCAGCCATCTGAGTGCTGGGATGACAGGTGTGCACCACCATGCCTGGCTGGATCTCATATAGTTTAGATAAAGTCCAGCTCCATACAAAATTTTTTAAAACGGCATGGGCCAAAACATTCTGAGGTTTTGCTTAATTCCAGGCTCTCACATTTTTTAATAGGGCAGTTAGTACAAAAGAGTTAGGATGGTCACAGACTAAGTCCCAGTTAAAAGCAGCAGCTATTTTCTCAACATCTAGCTTTGCGTGCTTTAGAGTTTTATGCTCTGAAAAAACGATCTAGCTTTGCATGCTTTAGAGTTTTATGCTCTAAAAAAAAATACAGAACATCTGTAATTCCTTCTTAGGCTGGGAATCTTAGTGGTCATTTGAACAACAAATGGTAATTTGAGTTCCTTGAGTGAGTTTTCTAAAACCCACAGTTGAGAAGATCTTTAATGGATAAATGAATCAGAAATTTCCTTATTGCTGCAAGGGTCTCCAAGCTATGGAGTTAGGATGGAGGTGTAAGGTGTTGAGTCAGAGACCTTTTGGGGAAGTGCATTGAAGTTAATACCTGTGTAGTTGACAGCAGCAGCTTTTCCCTGGTTCCATTCCACATTTGCAGATATGTCACTCACTTTGAGAGGGCTTTTGAGGATTGTTGGAGTTCTTTTTCCCTAATTTATTCATCTCTTAATAGGTTATTTCCTTTTTGACCATTTTAAAGTTTTATATAGTTGAATGGTACCTTAGTTACTTTCCTCATTGCTGAGACAAACTACCACCCACATTTAAAGGAGGAGAAGTTTATTTTGGCTCTCAGTTTGTAGAGGTCAGTCTATAGTCAGCTGGCCCCAACGCAGGTGGCATAGCAGAGGGGCATCACAGAGAATAGTTCATGATGTGGCAGGCAAAAAACAAGGCAGCAAAGTAGCAAGCCTGGGCAACAGCCCTGTTTCTCTCCCTTATGTTCCATCCCTAAGGGCAGGTAGCGCTCACACCATTAATCCCAGCATTGCACACACTAGATCCAGCCACCTACGAAAAGCCTCACCTGTGGTGGTTGCATGAGGCTTTGGGGAAACATAAAAGGCATAACAAGTGGTATGATTGTGTATGGTTTATAGAATTTCAAACCATATAAATTCATTTATTAAATATGTTTCATGAATACTTGTTTACTTAAAAAGTTGGCCTACTGAATCTAGTTTTGTTATCCCACATTACTAGTCAGAGAGGAAATAACAGAGCTTGTTGAAATCAACAGTAAGCCTATAGAAATGCAAGGCATGATGGCTCACACCTGTAATCCCAGTACTGGGGAAGGCTGAGACAGGAAGATCCCTGCAAGTTCAAGGCCAACCTGAACTACTACATAGTGAGACCATGTCTCAAAAAAAAAAAAAAAGACAATTGCATATCCTGTAGAAATGTAGTTATTTCTCAAACCTTATCCTAACATATTTTTCCAGGTAACATGATTTGGTTTTATAACTTTCCAAGTAAAAATATCTAAACTTTATCTAGGGATACGCAGGGTTTTATGGATGCTAAGCCAGTGTTCTACCACTGAACTATACTCCTAACTCCAAAATAGCATTCTAAACTTTACACATTGGTTATTTACCAACTAAAGACACAAGCCTGTGCCCTTTCCTAAGTTAATACTGAAGTATGAAATTGGTTAGGACAAGGCCAGACGTGGTGGCGCACGCCTATAATCCCAGCACTCAGGAGGTTGAGGCAGGAGTATCGTTGGGAGTTCGAGATCAGCCTGAGCTATGAAGTGAGTTCAAGGCAGCCTGAACTGCACAGCAAGACCCTATTTCAAAAAGCCAGAAAAAAAAAAAAAAAAAAAAAAAGAAAAAAAGAAATTGGTTGGGACAAACAACCAGGCTAATATAACTCCTTCATAAATATTCCTTTGCTTTTCCACACGCTTTCAGAAATTGGTAGAGCCTACAAATGTGTATCGTCTTGCCTTAAGGAAGTAGATCTAGTTGAAATATTTGTACAAGCTGTCCTTGTTTTCTCCAAAGGAAGATTGCATAAGAGAGTTTTAATCAGTTGTGTGGGGTGACCCATTTTCAGGTCGTCAACAGTGTAATTACTGTTGAGATGTGCTTTGAGCATTTTTAAGGTAGTGGCTTACTTAGAAAAGGCCAGGTTTCTTTAATCTGTTGTGTAGATGTAAAATTTTATAGAAAGGGAGGGAAATAAGATAAATTTAGCCTCAGGATTTTTTTTTAGATCTTACTGCCATTGTATTTGGGCAGGTGTATCACTCTCTGAGCCATAATTTAAGGTCTTGAATATTAAAATATGAAGCTGGTGGTGTAGCTCAGGAGTAGAGCTCTTGCCTGATGTGCACAAGACCCTGAGTTTAATTTCCGAGCATTGCAGAAAAAAAATGTGCACATTTAGATTAAATATTTTTAAAAATTAAGTTCATTGGTACATATATATATATGATTAGATTAAATATTTTTAATGAGAGGAAAACTTCATAGATGTAAAAAACTTCATAGATGTGTGAGTGCTACCTGCCCTTAGGGATGGAACATTTCCATCCCAGAATTTTAAAGTATATACTTGTATATACTTACTTGATTTTGTATGTACTTTTTTTGGGGGGATGGGGTGTATGGGGAATCGAACTCAGGACCTCACGCTTGCCAGGCAGATGCTGTGCCACTGACCTAAATCCCTGGCCCATTGATTGATTGGTTGATTGATTGAGGCAGGGTCTCACTATGTAGTGTAGGCTGGCTTTGAACTCACAGTGATCCTCCTACCTCAGCCTCCCAGTCCAGTGCTGGGATTGTAGGTGTGTGCTACCACACCTGTCTGTGTATGGTTTAATTGTAAAAATGATCCATAGTCATTGAAGGAATGTAAGAAAGTCTAGGTGAGCAAAACTAAAGATAAAAAGGGTACGTAATCCTATATCTTAATGAGTATCATTATGTATATTCTGGCATATGGTTTGTAAAAATATTTCTCTGTGCATACTTAAATATGCATTCAGTATAATCTTTGGGATACTTTACAAATACAGTTTCTTTTTTTTTTTATAACGAGAATCAAATTCCTGACCTTGTGCTTGCCAGGCAGACACTGTGCTGCTGAGTTATATCCCTGGCTGTACAAATACAGTTTTAGAAGTTTACTAATTGTATAATTTGATGAAATACTCTTTTAAAACCATTTACATCTATGAAGTTTTTTTTCCTCTCAAATAGTGACATAGCTGTCCCAAATTCTCTCTGGGAAGAAAAGCAATGTAAATGAACACTTTGGAGGTTATTAACTTTCTCCTGCAATGCCATCGTTGTTTCAGTCTCTTTAAACTCATCTTTTAGAATTTTATATTCTCTGAATATCATAAGTGATGGCAAAACTTGATGCTTTGAAGCTGGGTCTGAACTTTTGAAATGGCTGTAGGTGTTTTAAGCCCAGATAATGAATAGAAAAACTAAATCATTTTAGTTGGTATAAAACTGCCCTGTAGGTACTTCCAAGAGAAATTATAAAACTATAGCATCTTGGAGATATTTGCATCGTTTTCCAGAGAGACTGCTTTCAAATATGTATCATATTTGACTTGTGTCTGGTAGTCTGAGCAACTGATTTGAAGGTAACAATATGCAATGGAATTACAATGGTGAACTCCTACCATCTTGTCTAGTGAAACTCTGTATTATTCCTAATGTTTTATTGAAGAATTATTTTCTTATTCTCTTTAATGGTTTGGGCAATCTTCCATTCTTAGATCTGGTAATCTGAGCAATGTAGTTGAGGATAGGGATATGTAATGTAACAACCACTGTTGCTTTGTATTATTTTGTCTTGAGACTCTCTATCACTTTGAATGTTCTTGCTTTGATTTGTTTATGTTCGTGATACTGGTATGCTGCTACTGTTCTATTTTTTTTGTTTGTTTCTCATTTACTACTCTCTTTAAAAAAAAACCTCAATTATCTCAGGTATTTTGTCAGTTGACTAGTCCACTTGTGTAAATCAAACTTTAC